CAAGCGGGCCAGCTCGCTTTCTCATATGAACACAATGCAAAATTTTATAGGAAAATAGATAGGCGGCGAGATCATCGGTAAGCGAGACGTCCCGGTAAGCGGGATCATATGAACAGGCCCTTACACATGTTTCTTGTTCACCCTTTAAAGCCTGGATGTGCTTTCCTATTTGTTTTACTTTGTCTAACAATGAATGTTATGGTTTAATATACATTTCTTTTTCAGACATTCCAACAACACCTGGTATGTGACTTAAGTACCGCATTACATATATACACGTATATCTTAAGTTATAAAGACGTAAATTTAAGACATACTGTATTGATGAAATAAGTTTTGAGGAACAAACATTTTTTAGAGATTTTAATGATTCAGAAATGTTCTGGCAAAAATTCATATACAGGGACCATGAAGCTTGTTTAAGAGGGGGAGAGGGGCAGAATAGCACGGGAGCTATGCCATGCAGGCAGGCTGGATTTTATCCGGTATTTTTTTTATTCACTGAAAAAGGGGGTGCTATGGCCCCCTTGCTCCACGGTTTCTAGGACAAGAAAAGACACCATTAGGGCAAGGAAAGAAAAAAAGTTTGCTAGAGGAAAGCAAAGGAAAATACCTTTAAATTTCTGCAAAAAGATTCCAGCCCACACAGAACGACCAAAAAGAATTTGTCCCATCACTTTAATAGAGATGTTAGAAGCATGTGCTGAATGAAACTGTTAGTAACCTACAAATTTCAAACATGGTAATAGGAAATTAGTGGGTTTGTAGGCTAACCTAGCCATCTTGGCCAAGCCATGATATCATAATTAATATTGTTGCTCCAGTCTCCTTGAATAAACTATACTTGAAGTTGTCTATTTGTAAATATTGAACACAAAGTTGAATAACTGCTGGAAAAATCTGATCACACCACTGGCCTGTTTGGTTGCACTGGCTGCGTTTTATTTTGGTGTTCATTTACATCAATGAAACTCAATTTTCTGTTTATTTTCAGAGCCATCATGTGCACAGCTTCCAGCAGTTGCTAATGCTGACATAGTGTATTCAAAGAAACACTTGTATAGTATTCCTCTTGGTAGCACAGCAGAGTATAAGTGTCGAGGTGAAAATACATTTAAAAAGCAGTACAGACGTGAATGTAAAAGGAGTGGCTGGAATGGTAAAGTGCCCCCAATAAAGATTTGTTGTAAGTTTCACTTGTGTGTTCACGTAATATTACTACAGTATGTGATAATGGCATGGCAGGAACTAGTATGATAGAAAGAAAGCTTTGGATATTATAGGGATACAACTTCCTGAAAATACAAGGAGAACTTCAACGTTTCAAGCGAAGGCCAGGGCTCGAATTTTATCGCGGCAATCGCAGCAGTTGCCGTAGAGGGAGACCAAAATGCCGTGGATCATTGTGGCAACGACTGCAATTTTTATTCTATTCACTGTGCATTACTATTTTGATACTTGAATTCAGATGTTAATCAAATCATGCGTAAATCACTATTTTAGTCTCAGTTTTCTTCGAAAAAAAAAACACTAAAGAAATACATAGACATGTTTCTAGCTTGTCAAAAATCAGAAGTAACAATAAAATTAAATTTTTATTACAGTAATTTGAAAAATGCCGTGGAAACTGTCAAAATTGCCGTAGACAGCTGTTACGTTCTACCGCAATTTTTAACGCCATTGCCGTCGATTGATTTCAGGGAAATTCGAGGCGTGGTGAAGGCCCTTATATTAAACCATTGTGCACCACCGCTCTTCCCTTGCCAAGCAGTCCCAACAATCCATGCAACTCAAAAGTTCTTGGTTTCATGGATATTGTTTGGGAATTTTGTACATGTCTGCTACCATAAACTTGATGTGATTTGATTTTGTTGCTTGTCACAGCGAAGCTGAGAAAATGTTTTAAATATGTTCTTTCTCTTGCTTTTATGCTGTATGAACAGTACTAATCAAATAATATATCTTTAATTTAAATGAAAAGTGTGTATTTTATTTGCTCACCATTTAGTGTTTTTGTCGCGACTGCATTGCAAATATTTAACATCATCAGGGTGTTAGCTAGCCCATATACTGTCCGTTTGACGGACTCTTCCCAATTGAAGTAGCTAAGGGGCTTTCCCAACTGGGTCTACTGGACGATTTTCATTTTTTCTGATGAGAAAGTGCATTGCGTTTGATTTTATATTATTATATCAAAGAACGTTTTATTTACTTTTTCCCATTAACTATTTTCTCAAAATATATCGCGTTTCATTCATATTGGGTGTGTATTCACTGAAATGTACAAAACAAAGTGTAATCGGTGTGCATCCGTGTTCGTTCACCGGAAATGAAATATACAAAACGAGGTGCCATCGGATGCATTTTTCAGTGTTCATTCACCGGAAATGGAATGTACAAAACCAACTTGAAGCTACGGTTGTTTGCATCTAAGGAGAAACACGTTGGAACAAAACACTATTTATTCCAACACAAGAACTTTGATCCTTTCCCAATTTACGTTTAACGGACAAAACTTTTTTTTCTGGCTAACACCCTGATCATTCAACATTTTCTCACTGTTGTAACTATTGATTGACTAGCAGTTGAAAGCTTTTTGGAGATGGAAATTTTAAGCGGCAGATTGTATCAAGAGTGGATTTTCATTTTTTCAAAGGAGGGGTAGAAACATTTCTGGTGAGGTGCAAGCGGCACCAGTGAGTGAGCTTCGACAGGGGTTAGGTGTTAAGGTTAAAGACTTTCACACAAAATAGGAGGAGTGAAGCAAAATTTTGGTGGGGTTGAACACTTTATACGAGGAGTTAGAGAGATTCTAGGGGGGTTTAACCTCCTCCCCTAACCCCCCAGTAAATCCGCCCCTGGATTCTATTATATACAATTTTGGACCTTGCCAGGAGCAACTGTGAAAAATGAAACTATAGACCCACTGGCAGGAATCTAACCTGTGGGTCTGCGATTCCGGTGCAGTGCTCGAACCAACTGAACTACAAAGTTTTTGAGCTTTATCACTTGACTACCAGTTGTGGAACCCACTTATTTCTTGATTCTCTTTATTTTTCTACTTTATAGCTTGTGGACTTCTAGAAGATGTGGCAAAACCAAAGCCATTTTTTGATCGTACCTACAAAAAAGACAGCACATATAAACGCCTTTATCCATTTCACACAACTGCAACATACTACTGTAATATCACAGGCCTCACTGGAAAGGCTACATGTGAAAACACAGGCGAGTGGAAATGGACCAGGGGTGAACCGCAGAAATGTATACCAAGTAAACCAAGTACCGGTATGTTAAATTACAAGATTTTATTGGCATCTCACTCATTGAACATAATGGAATTTATTGAGTGTAAATTTTATATACCTTTATTCAGGGGCGAAACTAGCCCCTTTTAATTCGGGGAATATCTGCAGCAAATTTTTATTTCTGGCCACTATTTTTCCCTGAAAATTTTTTTAAAACATGGGTGAAACCTTTATTTTGGACCAATATCTGTAAAATTTAGGTCTATAAATTCTATTAAATTCCCTCTGAAAGCCCTGTAAGTTACTTCATAACTCTACATTCTTTCATTTAAACTCTTTGATTGCCCTGCCAATCCAGATGATTCGCCCTGTCAATCCACATGATTCGTATTTTGGTGGGGTGTCACCCCCCCCATACTCCCCCCCCCTCTAGTTTCGCCCCTGCATTTATTAGGACCTTATACAGTATGTATTTATTAGACCTTGTATAGATTTATTAGACTTTATATGCATTCATTAGGTATAATAATGTGTATAAAATTTACTCCCGATAATTTCATTAACAAACACTTCAACTATGTTAAATTATACTTTGTGATTGGGCTTGGTAACTTCAGTTGGAAACATTATTGCAGAAACATTGCATTAATGAAAGAAACATTTAAATTATACATACAGTCGCCTGCTTTGATACGCTGCATCACGTCATCTTACCTTGGGGGCAAAATTGAGCCGAATAATATCTGCCATTATTATTTATTTGAAAGATTTATAGTTTCTGATTGGCTTACAGCCAGGCCTCGAATTTCCCTGAAATCAATCGACGGCAATGGCGTTAAAAATTGCCGTAGAACGTAACAGCTGTCTACGGCAATTTTGGCAGTTTCCACGGCATTTTTTCAAATTACTGTAATAAAAATTTAATTTTATTGTTACTTTGGATTGCTGACAAGCTAGAAACATGTTAACGTATTTCTTTAGTGTTTTTTTTTTCGAAGAAAACTGAGACTAAAATAGTAGTTTACGCATGATTTGATCAACATCTGAATTCAAGTATCAAAATAGTAATGCACAGTGAATAGTATAAAAATCATACTATATGGCAAAAAATTGCCGTCGTTGCCGCAATGATCCACGGCATTTTGTTCTCCCTCTACGGCAATTGCCACGATAAAATTCAAGCCCTGTTTACAGCCAACTGTGAAATCGTCATATCTACACAACAGCTGACCAAATATGGAGTTTTGACATAATATTCAACGGAGTGACGTCATAGCGTTGAATATGAAAAAATTATTAATAGTGACGTTTTCGTTTTTCTATTTTCAAGAAACGAAACATCGTCACTTTACACACAAAATTTACAAAATTACAAGTAAGTGTTTCAGATATTCTTCAGTTGTTATTTCATGTGTTTTGATGGTGCAATTGTCGGAGCAAGCGCCTGAAATCGTGGATTCAGTTCCCGCTGCGGACTCATGACACTTACGTGAAAAGACTCAGTCAACGCTCTTTCGAAAGTCGTGGGTTTTTTCCGGGTTTTTCCCACAGGGAATGTTGACAAGGTGGGTTGGGATAAGCTCCAAACTGACCCTTTTACCTCGGCTGTGCTCCGCGATCAGATATGAATCATAAAATGGCTGCCGGAAGCCTCCTTAAAAAGCCTTAAACCCGTTGCCTTGTGCCAGTTGCCAGTCAATGTAGTCATATTGGACATGATTTAAACGCTTGGTTACCTTTGCTCCAGTTCTATGCTTACATTATCAGACGTTATCTTAAAATGTAAACTGGATGGCAACGGGGAACAAGCGTGCGTTATTCGTATAGGTTATTTTGAGGCAACGAGGGGATATGTGATTTATTCACCGAGGCGCGCAGCGCCGAGGTGAATAAACACATATCCCCGAGGTGCCTCAAAATAACGTACTTATTTTTCACACTGCGAGGTCGCGTTAATGAGTCAGAAAAGAAATAATTCTTAATGCCATATTGCCTTCGCGATGTTGTTTTTTCTCATTTTTTGTGCTGCAAAGACATTGCAGGTGAATATTAGAGGGGATTATTAATTGCAGGTGAATATTAGAGGGGATTATTAAACGGAAATTGATTAGAGGGGAATATTGATTATATTCGAAAAATAAGTTATAATATTGTTGTATTAATCAATTTTTTTTCTGTTTCCTATTGAACAGCGAGCAAGTCACCAATACATCACAATGAAGAGCGTACGGTGGTCATCGTCAGCGGGTCGACGGGCGCAATTTTAGGCGCCCTTATTGTCTTAGTCGTCATCGTATCGTGTCAGCGGCGAATTCACTACCATCGCGTGAGACGTGCCAGAATACGTCACCGCCAAGATCAGGATGCTTTCACAGCATTCATTACGTATCATCGCGACGTCCGTTTAATGCTTCCTTCCTATGACGAGGCTATAAACCAACAAGAGCAGGGCCAACCACCCAGTTTTGAAGAAGCCCTGGGACATTATGAAGAGCCAACACTCCCCCCTGGGCACACACCTGCAAGTGAAAACCCCCCATCAATTTCAACCGATTCCCCAACCTCATCTGCCTCCCCGGGTAATGAAAACGATTCGGACACAGCTACCTTAGTCTCTCCGACGTCAGAAAATAGTCGCTTCTTTCGAAGTCTTCGGACGCTATTCGGAGGTCGAGCGTTCCGACCCGACGCGATTTATTGCCGATTTGTACCCGATGAGGATGGAAGCGAGTCGCAGGCGAGAAGAGAGGAAAGAGGATCGCACAATAGTGCAACAGATGATGATTTGACCGAGGTTCTAGCACAAGCTGGCTTGTATTAGATTTAGTAAAGCTCTGGAGACACTATAGAATAGACCTTATGGACCTTGCTGGTCTTAGTAGTCATCACCCGGGAAAATTAAACAATTCAAAATGGCCATTATCGAAATTTTCCCGGGCAGTGACTACTAAGACCAGCATTCCTCGCGGGCATCAAGCCTTGTGACGTCATTATGCATAAGGTCTATTGCTCGTCTGTCCAGTTCTTTTCAAATCACGCACTGATCTCAATATATAGTGGATAGACCCAATTGAAAATTAAACAGATCTGATCACATACTGGATAGATCATAGATCCTATGAAAATGAAACTAAGGCTACGTTGACACTATACGGATAGCTTTCCGTAGCGGCGCGAAAAAGCACCTATCCGATACGCAATGTACAACTTTCAGAAGCTGAACGAAACAACATCCCTCCGGCAGGGCCGCCGAGAGGTTGGCGGGGGCCCAGGGCAAATGTTTTTTTAGGGGCCCCTATCTAAAAAATTTTTCCCGGAAAAAATTTTTTTTCCGGACAACAACCCCCCCCCCCTCCCCCGTCGCCAAAAAATTTTCGATCAGTGTACCATTTTAGGGGTAAAAAAAATTTTCCGGAGTACTAAATTTTTCCGGACGAGTACGTTGCAATTGCTTTCGGGGGACTTTATCTCATTTTTTTATGCCAAAATTCGGTACTTAGCCCAAGAAAACAGATATCTTGTCTTTTGCGCGGAAATATTTAACACACAAAAAAGGTCGGGGCCCAACAAAAATTTTTCAGGGGCCCGGGACAATCTGCCCCCCCCCCCCCTCTCGGCGGCCCTGCCCTCCGTTGCAAAAATTCCTATGAAAATATTAAAGGTACGGATAGGCGTTTTTCACGTTGCTATATACGGAAAGCTATCTGGTTTCAGTGTAAACGTGGCCTAATGCACCTGATATAATATATACAGCTAATAATAGCCTTGACTATGGAGCCTCATTCTCGTGATTGTAACGCTTGGTAGGGAAACTAGGCTCCACAGTTAAGGTGACGCAATTTCCGGAAGGGTGCTTTATAGCGAAACCAAGATTTTATATATGTTTGATTTTTTATTTGAGTGATCATGCCTCACCTTTAACAAAACGTTGAGGAAATAAAATTTCCATTCTATCAATTTTTCGCTATCCAAGTGGGAAGTGGAAACAATGTTTACCTTGAGAGCCTGTTCGCAGGCTACCTGGGACCGGTTGTATAAAACTCTTAATCACTTTTTTAATCACTAGTTTGTAGTTAAATAGTGATTAACTCTCAAATACGCGCTTCTTATTGGATGACGTTTCCACTAACTATAGTTTTCTAATAACTTTTTTATACAACTGGCCCCTGGTTTTTCCCAAGTCTAATAATTAGTCTTGATGTATACTAATGTTATTACATAGTAATTTTTGTAAATTGAGAGATTCTGTAATCATAATGTTATTAATTATTCTAGGTTAACTGTATAGTAGATACTTTCACTAATTGATTAGTCATCAGTGAAATTGATTAGTCATCAATTATGTCTGCGCCCCAGATTGAACAGTCGTTGTGTATGAACTTTCATGTTTATCAAAATAATTTGACAGTAGTCTGATCAGCCAGTCTAGTTAGCTTCACGCTGAAAAACGAGGTAACTGAAACTACAAACATCGAACTTTCACGCAAAGAATTTTAATTATTAAATCAAGTCAACTACATTTATCTGCGAGTGTTCATTCTTAGACACAAATGACTGCTTATGTTCTTGCTTACACATGGGCAATGTTACATGAAGTATTGCACACTCGCGTTCGAAATTGAAAATCAAAGATGGCGCCAAACGCAGGAGTGAAGAAATGAAGTTGTAAATGGAAAATGCTCTTCCTGTGAAGTCATGGGGTCTTGATCCCTTGTATTGGACTCATGTAAAACTGTTTGTAAGAGATGTGTTGCAGTTAAAGAATTATTCTGGGTTTAAGGGTAGATATTTATAAAACGTTAAAAACAAGGCAACACATGCATGCATTTGCATGATCATATTTTCATAGCTCTGTGAAGATCTTTAGATGTCTTAGATCCAGGGCTTAGGGCTATTACTTTTAAAATCTGGACCTCCCTGTGTCATACACTTGCTTTGGTTGGCAGTCCTGTTGCAGCAATGCAACACTTGTTGCCTTGGTTGCTGGAGCAGTTGTTGCAATCCCAGGTCGCTTTTTGGGATTTCTACTCTGTCATTCCCTGTATGGAAAAATGAGCATTTGACAGGGGGATTATGGAATCCTTGTATTATAAGTGAGAGTATCAAAAATCATTTTAAAGTTTAGCTAAATAGTTTTTTTTGGTGGGGGGATTCAATCATACTGTAGTTGTTTCTCACTTGTTAGGAGTGTATGCAATCAGCAACCATCCTATTGCCCAGGTGTTGGTGGTTGGTTATATTGTCAAGGTGGATAAAAGAGAGAAGTTAACTACTTATGGAGGTATACTCCCTGCCCCACTAAACATTTAGACTTTTCTTGTGTCTAAAGAGCTTAAAACCATGAGCAGAAAAATGTGGATGGAAAACGTATGGTTTTCATCCAATTTCCTCATTCATTGGAAAGTTGATAGGATGCATTAATTAACTCATCTAATGGAGGTTAATACTCCCATTGACATGCAATGTAGATTTTTGTATGACTTACATACCTAGTTACCACTTACCACTGTTCTAATAATGTAAGCATAGAATATAACAAAGGTGACGAAGCATTTAAATCATACATATTGTGAGGGAATTGAATAACAATGGGCATAAATGAAGGGCCTTCACTCAAAATGTTGAAGTTTTACTTGTATGTTTCATGAACCCCTTTCAATCCATAGCTTTCTGCATAAACATCTGTTGATTGGGTCTTTATACAATCTTGTATGTGATGTAATAATTTGTGTTACGATGGGTGAATTAAATAATATCTGGTGTCTACCATATCTTTTGAATTTCAATTTCTCAGTTGATGATGGGACAGGCTGTCTTTCATGTTGTATGTGGCACAACCAGAACAATGATTTAGTTGAAGCGACATTTGGAGACTTGGTCACAGTGATGGGGAAAATATCAGTATTTAGGGAAGAAAGACAGATTACTGCCTCATCATTTTGTATCCTTCAACCTAAGTAATTGTCTTCTTGCTAGTTAATTACAATGTTAATGTAAGTACCATACCATGTTCAAAATAGGCAGTCGATCACGCATGTTATTGTAAGAAAAATTTAATTTTAAAATTAATTTTAACCTTATAGGCATTTGGGGTGCTAAGGAGTAAGGGCATTCAAACCAGTCTTGCATACAGCAGTCATGAAGAACTTATAATTGTGGTCATCTGAATTACACAGTGGCAAAGCTAGCCATAGCAACAGGTGATGCTAGCCATAGCAACAGGTCATGCTATGCAGATCTTTATTGATTTGCATTATTCAAACCTTTAGAAATGTATTGTCTTTAACAGGGGGGGGGAATAGGGGTATACAAATCCGCCAATCCGCCCAAATTTGAAGCAAAATCTGCGATCCGACAATGGTCTTGTCTAAATTTGAATCCGCTAAAAGCTCTACTATGAAGTCACAATCCAGGATCCGAACTAAATTGCAAGCTAAATCCACAATCCGAGCCATGATATTAGATAAATCCTCAATTCGCTGTATTAATAAGATCTGCAAATCCGTGTAAAATATTCACCAGATCCGAAATCCGAACAATTTTTTCTGTGAAATCCGGCGATCCGAAAACCTATTCACACTCCCTCCCCCCCTTAACAGCTATTTAGATGCAGGTGTATTAGGATAGCTTGACCAGTTGCCATGACTACAGTAGTTTCACCTCAGGAATTACTACACCTGCTCAAAATCTTTAATTTTTTACCATTAAATCAAAATTTTAATAACAATTTTTTAATACATTTACCTATGCCATTTTTTAGCTATTCTAGTGGTATAGTTACAATACTGCCACTTCAATGTTTGTTTTTGACCTCTTAACACATACATGTTGTAAGATATTGAAACAGATCCCAATGTGGAGGTTTTTCACTGGCTGGAAGTCATGAAACTGAGGGAAATTTATGAAAAGCCATTTGAGGTTTCAGAAAATCCAGAGACAAAAACGTAATTAAAAACTAAATTTCACTGTGCTACAGCAACTGTCCAGTCACACATACGTGATAAAAAACCCGATATAATCTTTATAAACAAAAGATTATGTGAAACGTAACAGAATGACGAACATGCAGATTTGGCCATCTCAAATAATAGTAGTGTTGGGATGGTAGCGTTGCAGACAGGAGAGTGGGCAGTAAGACTCCCTGATGCACCACCACTGCACCCCTTCTTGCAGATGAAGTTAGATCCGCCACTCTAATGACACTGGGTTTAGTGAAGCTGCAGGGTTCGCGGGACTAACAAGGGATGCTCCCTACTGAACTTCTAGGAGGAACAATTTGGAACTGAGTATCGGAACAGTCGCTGTATGTGCATATGAGCCTATGAGGGATACTTAAATAATCACTAAGTGCTTGAGAGACAATTTAATTTTATTAAAATATAACTAAAAGTATTCTTTTTCAACCAGTGTAACAAAGCCGTGGCTTAAAAACGAGCTGGAAATTGAGATTGATCGGTTAGAAGAATCGCTAAAGAGCGCCATTGCCGAATATCTGGAGATCACAGACGCGTTATCATTTACTCTGGATACTCTGTGTGGTGTAAACAAAGTAATGGAGATAATGAGGCAACTTACAAGCAAGTATAGAGAACGGTCAAGCGATAAGAAGGTGAATAAAACGCATTCGTCGTGCATGGCTTGATGAGGTCAGCCGTAACGGCGATTTTCAATTCACGTCTTTTGCTTAAAACTGTCGCATGCAACCTGCTTACAACTTGAGTTGTACTGTGTAAATTAAGCACACAACTCACGTACGACAATGTGGATGAGTTGTGTGTTTGATTAATTACACAGTACAACTCAAGTTGTAAGCAGGTTGCATGGGACAGTTTTAGGCAAAAGTTGTGTGGTGTAAATCTGCCTGTTTTGCTGTAATCTTAGATTTAGTTCCATTCAGTTCCAACCGTTGTTTTGAGCATTTAATGTTCTAGGTGGAAATGAAACAGCCTCTGGTATCGAATCCTGAAGTTAGACAAGTGATAAAACAAACTTTAAGAAAACTGGACAAGGATGGGATAGTTTACTGTAAACCTATTACGGATTATAATCATCGGGAGTATGAAGTGAGTACGAGCTTGCTTTGTGAGCGATCCATCTGAGACCCTGCTCCATAGTTGAGTTTTTCTTTTATATTATTTAGTTCATTTCTATAAAGAAGGATTTGTCGCCTCGTATTGTTAATGTCATCAAAGAAATTTGTCACAGTCAAGGTACAGTATATTCTGGATTTTGGTCTGGGGGCCTGGGGCTACATGTATGTTGAGGCTCTCTTGAACAGCATTCTGAGATAAGTTTTGAAACCCGAAAAACCCCGTATTTTATCGTTATTTCAGACATTGTAACTCACCCCCCTCCAGGGTAAGAAAAATGAATTTTCTTCCTGGGATCACAACCTGGAGACAAAAATTTCCTGCAGACCAACAGGCCTTAAAATATCTTTTCCAGGGCCGTCTGACAAAATGTCCGGTGACGTTGAGTTTGGGTCGGACATATGTCCGATGACCTTCAGTTCAGTTTTGACTCGGAAATAAGTCTGAGTGCCGACACAAATGAATAAACGGTAAATGTTGTAAAGATATTAAATAATTTGTTTCTTTCATACTTATTTCCAAGACAAAATTAACTTGATTGCCAGTACAGCAGTGTTAAAAAAGACTTCGACAACTTAAACCCGTTTTCCACTTCACCATTTCGCTCGCCGCCCTGTGCTCGACTAGGTTAAAACAATATTTCCTGAGTTCACCTTTTATACAATAGTACACTGATTTTCCATTTAACATACAAGCCTCTAGTCCTGGGCTAGGGTACATTTTGATTTAAGTCGGACAAAGCTACAGTACGGTCGGACACCAATTTACTTGGGTCGGACAAACAATAAACCTCAGTTTCACTTTGGTCGGACAGAATGTCCGGTGGTTTCTTCTGTACATCGGACAATTTCATGAATGGGTCGGACAATGTCCGTGACCGACCGATATTTTAAGGCCTGAGACCAACGGAGTATTTTTGTGCTAAATCTGCATGTATATAAACATATAGTGTTCTAGCTGACCATGGTTTTAAATTCAAGGAATAATGTCTGTCAACCATATGTTGTTGCACCCATAGTGGAACATGGCTGTTAAGGTTTCCTTCAAATTTTCAATAGCAAATCTCCATTCAAACGAATTTCCTGCAGCTGTTTAACATTTCCTGCGAGCAGTGCTCGCGTGCTCGCCTATTTTTCTCACCCCTGCCGCCTCCCCCTCTCCCTCCCACTTTTTTGTCCGGATTTCAACCAGAACAGTTTGGAGAATATTTAAAGGTCTACGCCATTGCTGTCCATTGCTGGATCTCTAGGAAGAAGAGCAGGGCCGTAACTAGACGCGATAATTGGGAGGGAGGGTTGAATATTCATATGATCATCATCACATACCGGAAAAACAATCGCTTTCAAAAGAAATCCGTCGAGCAGAGCACGAGTATATGAATATTCACCCTCCCCCCCCCCCCAATTATCGCGTCTATGTGTAGCCCTGAAGAAGAGTTTAGTCCTGTTGCAGCTATTCTGTAGAAATAAAGTTATCGTAATATTTGTACATAATCCACTTCATATCGAAGTTCTCTGTTTAATTAGGAGAGTCATCCTGTGGCATTGCGCTGAACAAGATTGTGTCAAACTTAAAATCGTTGGAGAAATACAAAAACGTTCCCAGAGACAGAGTAAAGGTAGGGTTGGAACATCTCATGAATAATGGAGATATCTATGAAACAAGGCAAGGTCACTATCGTATTGCATAAAATCTCCCAGGACAAGTTGTCAGATTAAAGCTAGATATCTATTTGTAAGGCTTCGCATTTGTTAATAAATTGTTAAAGTGCCTATGACACGAAATTTCACCCCGAATGTTTATGGTTGCATTGTAAAGATCACTTAAAATGACTTAATAATTTTTTTTATAGAATTTTG